TGAGGAAAGAGGGGTGAATCACGCATGATGAGGTATAATTATGAGAGGGGGAGAAGGGAATAAGGGGGTGGCTTCACGAGGAAGTAAGGAAGGCTAAAATGTGAGAGGGGCTCAGGCCATGATGTGACATTATTCTACTTTATTATATAATTAATTAATTAATTTTAACTTTAATAACCGGTGCGAGTATCTAAATTAATTTTAAGTTACCGATTTAATTAACGTGCATCTCACTTTTTTAATTGAAATTTATGTTTTGATTTTTCAAGGCAAAATCATGGAAGTTCTTTCCAACAGTTTCCCATTTGAAAGCCAATGTTATTATTTTCTTTTTTATTTTATTCAAGGAAAATGGTTATACTTCAGTCTCTTTTATAGAAGATTCTCATAAGATTTTCCTGGGTACATAATTTGCGTCTCATCTTTCAGGTTATTATCACGGGAATCTTTTTCTGTGATGTCATGATGACGTTTTTGAATATGAATGGGCATGTTCATGGGCAGGGTAGCGTGGCCCGGCCCGTTTTAGGTCCATAGACTCAGGATTGGGCTTTAAGTGTTAGGGCCGATTATTTTTGTGGGCCAGGTTTGGATCTTTTAACTTTTAAATAAGCCTGGCTCAAACCCGAAAGTATTATAAAATATAAATAATAAAAAACATATTAAAAATAGGAATCAGGTAATAAAAAATATATACTAATTATACATAACAAAAATATATAATTTTGAAGGTTACTTACTCTTCTAATTCCATATTTGATGTGCAAAATGTATAATTGAGTAGAAGGTTTTTAAAATTGGACCGGACAGGGAACCATTTTGGGTCTGGTTCTTGGGTCAAATAGTCCAAATGGATGGCCCACTCTTACAAAAAAATAAAAATTAAAAAAATTTCCACAAACCTTTCCTAGGTCGAACGGTTCGATAATTCGATCACTTGGGTCAATGGTTTACTGACCAAATCAACGATTTTTTGCCAAGTAGCGGTTTTGGGGTAAAACAGAACCGATCAGGTGAATGGTTCTTGGTTTTTCCAATCTGACCGTTTGGTTCAGTCTCATTTTGAAAACATTGGTTGAATAAGAACATATTAAAAACTATAGAATTAGAAGATAGAATTAAGATATTGCATAAGGGGATTGGTCTCGACCCTATACATTTTCTATTAATGAGCGGTAAAATCCAAGGTTTTTAAAACCAGATTGGACAGGGAACCATTCTGGGCACGGTTTTTCAATTGCCATTGACTCGAACGGTTGGACTATTCAGTTCGAGAACCATCTAGGTAACTAGTTCCGTTTTACCTCAAACCCGGTTCTTGGCCAAAAACCGTTGAATCAATCAACAATCCGTTGACCCGGGCGATTGAACCATTGACCCGTCGACCCGTTCAACGATTTTTGCCTTTTTTAAATTTTAATTATTTTTTTGTCAAAACGGGCTATTTGTTCGAATTGGACAATTGAACCGTCAACCCAGAAACTAGTGGCTAGAACGATTCCATTTCGGGGTCGTTTTTAAAACCATGGTTTTGGGTCAGGTTCTCGGGTCGAATGGTCCGATCGTCTAGTCCGAACAAACGGCCCACTCTAATAAAAAAAAATTAAAAACCCAAAAAACTGCTAAAAACCATTCCCAGGTCGAACAATTCGACGGTTTGACCACTTGGATTAGCAATTCACTGACCAAATCAACGACTTTGTGATCAAATAGTGTTTTTGGGGTAAAACGGAACCGGTTAAGTGATCGATTCCCAATTTTTCCGGTCCGTTCCGATTTTGAAAACATTGATAAAACCCGACTTGTGGACAGGCCTAATGATCAACATATTTATATTCACTTATTCATTATCCCATCAAAATTATGATTAAGATAAGAGGGTAAGATATGCAAGTGTCAAGGTTAAAAGAAACTTCATGAGTTTTTAGGGCTTCTAACAATATCATAGGCACGTGACAAAGTGAATGGGAGGGTGAACACGTGGCAAAGTTTTCCTCGGTTTGATATCCATGGCCTACATCAGCCACATTATAATAGTTGTAGTATCATTCAAGACTCGACTAAGGAGATCCCAAGCTAGAATCCAGGTTCCAAGCACCAAACCAAGCCAATTATAATTAATGGATGTGATGTGAGGCCTTCGCCAATTATATTCCTTTTAGTCTCTATCAATCTATTAGCATTTTGTTTCAGAGAATGATCTATATACTGACATTGTACAGTTCTTGGCTTCTTGCCTTATCAATTCCCTGTCTCAAAAAAAAAAACCCAGAAATCTCGCTATTTTTGTTTTCACTCGTTAGATGGTCAACACACGCCATGAACGATGAACCCCATAACAATTACTCTTATCGGGTTGCAGGCTTTACGGAGCAAAAGTTTATGACTTTTGGCATCATCTATACAAATGGGCACAAACAAACAGACGTCCATCTGTGTTATCTAGAAGATGACACCAGATCAGGATTCAGGGTGGAAGTGGAAACCCTAGCTAACAACACATCGCACGGAAATTCTTTCTTTTTGTTTATCAATCTAATGGCCAATTGATGCAAATTCGCAAAGCGAGGTGTTAAACAACCATCGGCAACTGTAAGGACCTCACCCAGATGGATTGGAGTTGAGGGCGGGTTAGTTTCAGAATCGCCAGCTTCATTATTAATTGCATGGAAACATTAATTCCATAGATAGATAGATAGATAGGTTTGTGGCCGGCAGTTAAAAGGAGAAAGGCTGTAATGACAATGATCACAAACTGATCGATCATCGAGTCCAACGTCCACGGATGTCTCCTCAGTTCTCACTTGAATTGTGGTCGTGGATGGGATCTCTCTCTCTCTCTCTTAAATTCTCTGCATGCTTGGAAGGATAAAAGTAGAAAGCTACATTTGACACTAAATATCATTTTTATTAGGAGCACTATTAAAATTCAATCCGAAAATCGTCCAGCCATAACCTGCCACGTCTCTTGAAAGAGATTTTTCCTCCAAGAAGATACAAATAAAATTTTAAATACAGAAATATGGAATAATCTCGGACCTTCCTGTCAGCGACTCACACACTAATCTTTCATTACACTCAGGACTCAGCTCAGTGGTTGCCAAAGAGATTGCTCCTTCCTTCTTATTGTCTTATTTCGGCCTCTAGATATAAGTGAGCATCACATAATCTAATTTAACTTTTATCGCCTGGCAAGATGATTCTAGTGGTTGATTTTTGTTTATCAATTAAGTGGTCACCTGTGAGAAAAACAAACAAACAAATTTCTATCCCTTAACCATATAAGTATGATATTGAATGCTATGAACGGAGGAACAAAAATTTATAAAGAGAAGTTGGTTTATTATTGTCCACTTACTGTTTTGGTAGGACTTAGCAATCAAATTGACTGGACCTGAGTGAGGATGAAGGTAGTCATCCCATCCCATGTCCCAAATGCAACTACATTTCATTTCAACAAGTAATAATTGATTGATGCCAATCCAACCTATTACATGTACTGTAACAGTGAGAGATTTTATAGAAGATTCTGAACTCAAGCCTTACAATAATTAAAGGTACCGACTGCCGACCATATCTTGTTGTTTCTGTTTCGCCAAAACTAGTTGTCAAGAATTGACCTGAATTTCAGAGAGAAAAATATTTGGAGCAGGACAAGGATTTGAAATTTTTTGACCTTGCCTATCTATAGAAATGGCGTCTGGGCCTGAGATTAGGAGTAGATGATTATCAATGCCACCACACGTCTAAGCTTGGGATGATGACAAGGATTGCTTGACATTCAAAATTGTGTGAAAGAGACACAGACGACGCCTCCTTAGTTTTTTCTTTGATTAAGTAAAGATAAGGCTTTCCAAGATTAACGCATGCTTCTTAATAAAGGAAACCGTGTGCAATAATGGATACTGATCTCAAAATTTTCTGAGTATACATACAGTTGGATATAACTCCATCTCTCTCCTGGTCCTAGGGTTAGATTTAAAAATAAATGGATTTATGAATAGCAACCCTAACTCTAAGCATTTGGGTTGGTCAAAGCCGTGTTTGAATACGGTGCATTGGACACATTACATTCATATTCATCTGGTGCATCCTGTGCAAGTGCAACCATACCAAGTACCAACCCATTTTGATTTCAAACTCGGGTGTTTGGAGTTCACAAGGCACCGGATTTAAAGACGGGTTGAACATCCTGATTCCTGACTGATAAACTGCCAAGCAGTGCTGGAGGTGAATGACGGAATTCTCCTTTCAAATTCCTTTCCCGGGGATCATCGGACTAATGCCGTCCGTCAATACTTTAAAATATGTATGTATAGTAGTAATTTCTTTTAGGCTACAGAACCAGGACCAACTCAGGTCTTTAAAATGTGTATGTATAATAATTCCTTTTAGGACAATACACATACAGCCCAAGATACCAGTCTCGCTGAAACTTCCGTCTACCTTATTCCCAGCTTGAAATCTTATGACTTTGATTTTATTCACCTCAGGTGAAATCGAGCTTTGCAAGATTATTTGATATTTAGGTGAATTTGAAATCATGGACCTAAACAACTAATAAGGACTGTTTGGTATTCACCTGTGACGAAGATGTCACAGGTTAGCTTCAAATTCCAAGGGAACATAACCTTCCCTACAGGCTACAGGGAGTAATTTTAAATGTCAGGTTAGCTTCAAAGTGTAGCCTGCCCTGGAATAATAGCTTTCCTCTTGGTCCAACCAAAGCCACCATCAAGTAAAATGGGGATTGTCCCCCTCTCGGGGGGAAAAAGGGCCAAAAACCACAAAAAGAAACGAAGAAAAGGGCTGAGCAGTGTGAGCACTGAGACTTGAAAGAAGCGCACAAAAGTCATAAAAACAACGGAGAAGTACAAAAACACACGATGCAGAATTCTGAATTCCAGCTCCCCCCCCCCTACTATCAAAAACTCCTGAGGGGTTTGTCTTCTTTTTGATTTCTTCAATGATGGATGGAATTATTATGGGCTGGTATGTGCTAAAATAATCAAATGCGACATCACAAAACGATTTTTTTTTTTGAAACATTATACACGGTTAGTCATTCCCAACATTTATATGAATAGTGTAATAACTCCTCAAATGAAAAAAAAAAAAGAAAAGAAAAGAAAAGAAGAAAACCTACCAAATCCTCCACATTACAGATTTGTACTACGAGTAGGAAGAAAAAAAAAAGGAAAATAAAAAGGTTAAGGGAAAATAATGAAAAGACATTCATCTAGTCTAGCCTCAGTCCTCAAACTCATGAATATGATCCAACAGATAGTTGGCCGCCAGCTCCTCATTCTTGTTGCAGGCAAAGAAAACCTCCAGCACAAGTGCACGATCAAAGCCCATTGCCTCAAGCTGACAGAGACACAAATATGAACGAACATAACCACAATATACTTTTCAGACAATATTTTTTGATCTTCCGAAGCTTCAAGTAGGAAAGATATATATCTACCAAAAAAAGGGGTCAGTTTGTATAATTTATCCAAAATGTGGAGGGAGGATTTTGGAGAGGTCAAAGTTCAAGGAAGGTTAAAGTGGTTGTCAAATATAATAAGGTTTAAGTAATTTACCCTAGTTTTAAATAATTAATTCTCTGTAACATTTTAATAATTAATTTTATGTCATAAAATAAACATAGATATTTTCGTTTCAATAATGAGTGGGAAAATTGTTGGTACTAAAATAATTTACATATACATAATTCATAGTACACGTACATATGTAACTATGTAAGCACACACACACACACACTCTTTCCTGTTCTGTTTCTGGTGACAGGGTATCCAGTCTTGGTTGAGAATGGCATACTATCAAGATACCAACCAGCTGCCTCAATCCCCATTGTCCACCAAGGCTGAAGAGTGTGCGCCCCCCCGCCCCATTGATTGCAAAAAATAGTATCACGAAGAAAGAAGATGATCCTATCTGGGATAAACTCCAGGTTTAGACAAGCATAAAGTTGGTATCTTTGCTGACAACCCACCAAAACCATTAAATGAACCTGGAATTTTACTGAAAAAAGAAAAAACTTTTAAGGTAATGCATAAAGTATTTCTAGGTTCAAAGTTAAGTTCACTCCACTAATAGTAAATCCAGGTTTAACTCAGCATTCTCCAACATGAGTTCGGATTTAGTCCCAACACAGGGTCCCAACAGCCACTGCAGCCACGCATTGGGAATATCTCCCTTGTCCTTCATGGTGAGATATTCCCAATGTAAGCTGCAATGGCTGTCAGGACCAGATCTGGAATCACCCTACATGTCCGAGATCAGATTTCGTCCTCATGAAATTGGTCCTCACAACACTTGCAGCCATACATTGGGAAAATTTCCTTAATTTGTATATTTTCATTCATGTAAACATGTTCCCAATGCATGGCTGCAAACATTGTGACAATGGTGTGAGGACAAAATCCGGATTCCCATGTCCAAACCACTGAACCCATCATCCACAGCTATCTAATAAAAAGATAAATACACATAATTGAAATGATCTAAATGAAAGCCAATATTTCTTTTGACAAGTCTAAATGATCACCAGTATTCTACAGTGGGTATTAAGGTTGCCTAACTAAATTAGCTGGTTAAAATTTATGAACGTAGAGCAACCATAGCTACCTACAATACACAGATAACAGTTACAACAGTGTCGTATCATGTCAGGTATTTTAAGTTTTGCCATAAATTCCATATCTGACTAGCTTGTTTCCTTGCCAAATCTGAGTAACATAGGTAGCAAAAAATGCAGCTTCAATGAGTCATTTTCTTTTAGTTGTATGAGCTAACATATGTACTTAAAAATAAGATATTAACATGTAAGAACAAAATATTAAGGCTAAACAAGGTTGCTAGGAATTTCCATGAATTAGCATAAGTTGGCAGAAGAATGCCATAAATAGAATCCTGATAAAGGATCAATAAACTTACACGTTCAATGGCTTCACGCTCCTCAGGAGTGACTTGGACTGTTGCTGGGGCCATCTGTCCAAATAGGTTCCTGGTGTACATTGGACAGCATTTTAGCACAACATATGTCAAACTATAAATTCATTAAATGAAGCAATATTCGAAGCATATCTCACCCCTCTCCACCTTCAACAGGTTCATTGATCAAGCGTAGGAAGTCAGCCTGATGCTCTTGAATAAGTCTCATTAGGTGTGGATTTTGCTTCCCTAGTTCTTGAAGCATAGGCTGCATGCCAACAATAAAAATGTCAGAGGTATTCATAGAAAATAAACAAAATAAAGGTTATAAAAGTCCATTAGAAATAAAACAAGACCTGCAAGATCTGGGGATTTGCCTGCACCATACCTCGCAAAGCTTGGAACTGCAACAAATAAAATGTAATATGCAATATTAAATTGTTAGAAAGAGAGGACCAAATCTCTAAATATTCTCAACTATTTTACTTGGATATACAGACAAGTCTAATTGTAAGACTTACAGTTTATCATGTTAAAGGTTCCAAAATAAATCTCTGTGGTTACCCATTAGAAAACACTCATCTATCATGTTTATTTTTTTTTTTTTGAAAAAAGGTAATGAAAATTTTATTCATGACGAAGATAACCATACAAGAAAGCGGGGGGGAGACCAAGGATCAGTTCACCCCCTAAGGATCTGATCACAAACAAGTTCTGATTACAAAACACAGGGATGGTAGAAAGCCAAGAGGCAAGTTTGACTACAATACACTGAATCAGCACCTCCGGTTCTTTCTTCTCTTTTCTAAAAATTCTGTCATTTCTCTCAGACCATATAGTTCTGATAAAGTGATAACTGCAGCTGGAATGGCACTCCAAATGTATTTTCCTTTTTTTGATAAGCCCGGCAGGTATCAGCACTTAAGCAGATCCTTTACTGTTCTCAGCATTACCCAGCTAACACCAACAGCATTAAGGAAGTGAGACCAGATTCTCCAAGTAATCGTGCAATGCATACAGAGATGGTAAAAGGATTCATCTATTATTGTTTTTATTGATAACAAAGAATATTTTATTAAAGAGAGGTCTAAATCCCCAATATCAGTCCCACCCCTCAACAGACTCTTCAACCATTTTTAATGAAAGGCATTGTAGTCCGAGCAAAAACAGGAAAACCCAAACATGTTGACCAAAAACACATTCCAAGCATTTAATCCCCACCATAAACAAACAAACCCTCTGGAAATATAAGAGCCGAACCTCCAAACATCAACTTACAAGTTGCATCTTTCCAAAGACAACAAATCTCCCTAGAGGACAGCCCAGTAGACGAGGCTGCCATCAATGCAGGGTCGGGGGGGGATAGTGTACGCAGCTTTACCCCTGTACATATAGAGAAGCTGTTTCCAAGATTTGAACCCTGGTCACCCAGGTCACAATGGAGAAACAAACTCTTCCTAGAGACCACAAAAAACGCCTACCAAATAGGATGACTAAACTGCCTGCCGCTTACCTCTTCCCGTTCCCCTAATGCCTTTGGAAGACCCACTTCTCAAGGAAGACAAAATCACAATCTCCTCAGCACAAAATCTCAATTCCTTGACAATGCCAACCCACACGCAACTAATTCTGATCTCCACCAGCTCCAGGCTCACACCCTTGAACCATCCTAGGGGTGTTCATTTGATCAGTTTGGTTCAGTTTTAAAGGGCAAAGGGGTCATCCAGTTATATAAAATATAAATATTAATATTTATAAGTATAATATATAGTATATATTAACACATAATATTAGTATCATAGTTGTCAAGGCGACACCTAGGTGACAAGGCGACAAGGTGCCCCCCTGTCACCTAGCCTCACCTTGGTGCCTTGAAAACTATGATTAATATTTATAATTAAGATATAATGTGTATATTATATATTTTTCAGTTTTCGGTTTGGTTTGGTTTGGTTGAGAAATTTTCCCGAACCAAACCGAACTGAATTGACTTGTTTGGTTTGGTTTTCGGTTCAGTAACCAAATTTGAACACTCCTAACCATTCTATCAAACATTGATGAAGGAAAGCCTCTCATTCTGCAAGACCACCTTTATTAGCACCACTTCATTAAAATATCTCTCCACCTGAAAAAAATAAAGTGTAATCTCACTCATCTATCCCACACATAGGACTTGGGAAACCAGTGAAGCACTTTATTTTCACAACTCATTATTATATGTAATCATCTTTTTTTAATATTCTGTGGCCAAATGTCTTCTGTTCTTTCAGTGACAGCAATTACGGTAATAATCAATCATCAAGAAGGATGTTAACATGACAAATCCAGATAATCTGAAAGGAGATCCTCTGATAAACAGCATGAATAATATCCTTATCCATTGCATTCCCATATTTCATAATGTGTTGCAATTCATAAATGCTAGCCCTCAAAATTTTCCCAGTTTTTCCTAAAGCTGACAGCTTGTACCAAAGATAACTAGAAGATGAAAGGAACAGCAGATTACATTGTAACCCAAGACAGGTCCATGTCACCCTCTACATGTGGTATGTTTCATCCCAACAGCCTGCTGCCAACATCCCAAAAAAGAAAAAAAGAAACAAAAAGCATTGTCTTTTTTCTAATAACAAATTTGAAAATTCAACGAGTGTTAACCAGAAAGGGGTCCACTACAGGAGGGAGATAAAACTGACGTGAAAGGAGCTAGTAAACATTTGCCGCTCTGGATATTTAGCCATCTATTGTTATGGATTGACCATGTTAATGGTACATGTGAAAGATGATTAGTCATTCTCATTTGGTAATCAAACCCATAAACTTGTCCATAAAAGTACTTATACTCACCAAAAAAAATGGAACAATAGATTCTCTGTTTGGCATGTGACAGATCATTCTCTTATTGGCAAGAAGCAATCATTAACAAGGGGAAAGTGGATTACTTTCATCTTGCCAATGCTTAGCTCATGGAAATATAACCAAGGGTGCATATTTGACACGGGGGGG